GAGGAGGGAGGGGCGGGGCGGGGCGGCTTCAACAGCTGACCTGCGTCTGACCTCAAAGTGCACAAGCTTCAAACTTCAGCGTTGGCTGCGATTTTGAAGCTGAAATCGCGTTCGGTGTGAACGCACCATTAGCCATGCTGGACCGGGCCAACACCATGCAGTGCCAGGTTGGGCCATGCTGGACCGGGCCAACACCATGCAGTGCCAGGCTGGGCCATGCCAGGTATTTGCCTGTGTGACTCTCAGGAAGCTGCAGGTCCTGATGGAGGAGCCCCTGCACCTCCTCCATCTGGAACATGTCCTCCTCAGGTGGGTGAACCACCACGTCAGGAACTCCCTGTCCAACAATCATCTTCTCTGGAGCAGAGCAGCGCCGTAGAGTCCCTTCTGAGGGGGCGTGTCCTAATGGTGGGACAAGTCCCGGCGGGCAGGGTTCAGACAGGTGGCGTCCGTAACGGTAGAGACTGGGAGAGGGCTGAGAGGCGGAGCTTGATAGGAGGCGCTGAAACATGACGGAGGGAGATGAGGGAGGGGTGGAGGCATCGAATATGGCCAGGGAGGAGCGACGGAGGAGCGAGAGGCGAGAGGAGGAGAGACCCTCCCCTGAGGAGAGGAAGAAGAGAGGCTAAAGGACGCTAACAGGAAACATGATCAGAGGCCAATCAGAACCATCCAAACTGATCTGAACCAATCAGAACCATCCAAACTGATCTGAACCAATCAAAACCAGTTAGAGCCATCCATACTGATCTGAACCAATCAGAACCAGTTAGAGCCATCCATACTGATCTGAACCAATCAGAACCAATCAGAACCATCCATAATGATCTGAACCAATCAGAACCAATTAGAACCATTCAAACTGATCTGAACCAATCAGAACCATTCAAACTGATCTGAATCAATCAGAACCACTCAAACTGATCTGAACCAATCAAAACCAGTTAGAGCCATCCATACTGATCTGAACCAATCAGAACCAATCAGAACCATCCAAACTGATCTGAACCAATTAGAACCATCCATAATGATCTGAACCAATCAGAACCAATTAGAACCATTCAAACTGATCTGAACCAATCAGAACCATTCAAACTGATCTGAACCAATCAGAACCAATCAGAACCATTCAAACTGATCTGAACCAATCAGAACCATTCAAACTGATCTGAACCAATCAGAACCACTCAAACTGATCTGAACCAATCAGAACCATCCAAACTGATCTGAACCATTCAGAACCAATTAGAACCATCCATACTGATCTGAACCAATCAGAACCAATTAGAACCATCCATACTGATCTGAACCAATCAGAACCAAT